GCTAAGTTACTCAAAAAAATAATAAAAATAAGGTAAGAAAAATACTATTTTTTATGTTTATGCTTATTTTAGGGCACTAAAGCTCATTGAGTTCTTATTATTTTTTAAATATGGTTTTACAAAACTTTGTCCACTGCGTTACCGAGTCCACTATGTTACCTTATGGTAACGCAATGGAATTTAGGGTAACGCAATAGAATTTTTTGACAACAAAGTGGATATTTACCGTCGCTTTTATTAAAAGTAGTTTATGATTAACCAATTTAAAATTATTTGTAATTACAACTTATAAATAATCAATAATCTCAATATAAAAGTACTAAAAGGGACCTTCATCAGCTTATAGTCAAAGAAAAAGGGTGTCTACAATTTAAAAATCTAAGTTGTTATTCTCAGCATCACTACAAGGGATTTTGTTTATGCATTACTCTAAAATCGTACCACCCTATATAGTTTCTTTTTTAAGTTATCTGATTAAGTCTGTGTACTCCTGTCCGTTGTGATACCAATGTCTATTTTGTTACTTTTTTAGTTTTTGTTAAAAAAAATACTTAAAATGATTTTTATACACTATCACTTGGTAATACGTGTTTATAAATTAGAGTTTAATTCACTAATACAGTGACTAAAAGAAAATATTAATGGTATTGTTTTTTTAACAAAGAATCGGAATGGTTTCTTTTAAAAAGTAACTTAACGAACATAATATATGATTTAAAAAAAAAGCATACAATTTTTAATAAAAAATAAAATAAAAAATTGGAGTCAAAAGTTTGTGAACTAAGTACATTTTATTTCAAATTTTTTTTATTGAATTAAATTTTGGATTTTAAATTGGTAACACATTGGAGATATATAAATCTAGCTAAACACATTTTTCTGAAAAAAACGTAAAAAAATTAAAAAGTGCACTGCCTGTCTTAAACGTAGGTAAACAAAACTCTAAAAATTTATAAAAATCCAACCAAAAGTCAAAAATATTTTGATCTTTATTTTCCTGAAAGCGGGTGTTTCTTGAAAATGACCCAATTATTGCTTAACTTACATAAAGATACCTTATATTTAATCCAAAAGTAAATATTGTATCGGCAAGAATTTTAACATTTGTATCAAAAAATACTTATTCTTAAATTAAGCATAGTGTATATTTTATTTGAGGGTGCTATAATTATTTGTGAATCATAATATATTATATAAAATTTTGAAAACACCTTAACAATAACATGGACAACCAACACTAAAATAAATCTTAAATTTATAAAATAATATAATTTAATATTCCTTGTGTATTAAAAAAATCTTGGTTGGTTAGTACAAAATAAGACAAAAAACTGAATGCAATTATGTACCTAGTAAAACATCGCGGATTTACTAAAAAAAATTGTTTATTTTTTAATACAGTTATCTATATAGAAATTAGTTATTTCATCCCGACGTTTAGCAGAATGGGTAGCAAGTGCAGAGAAAACGAGGTATATCCTTTTACATGAAGCTTAATTAACAGAGATTGTAATACAACACTGCTTCATTTAAGTTTAAAAAGCTTGCGGATTCTATTTAATACAAAATTTAATTTAAAACAAAATCCTGCAATGTTAATTTTAAAAAGTAAAAAGAGTTTTTAATATTACTTTAATTTTAAATTTGTGTTTACATGAGTTGAATGCTACAAAAATAAAAAACTGCGTACTCTTAGAGCCTATATTTGGGTGAATGAGAAATTATACATTTTGAATATTAGAGCTTCACGAAAGATAGCTTCACGGAAGTTAGGATTTCGTATGTTTTTTTTAAACATCCCTTTTTATATTTGGAATAAGTTATTGTACCTTGTAACACCTTAATATTTTTTAAAAATACATAAAATATTTATAAAAAAATCTACTTACTAAGTAATATTACACTTCACGGTGGATAGGTTTTTAAATAGCAAATTAATGAACTTAAACTTTTGAATTATAAAACAGCAACACTCTCATCTGCATATAAATTCTAACTGACCTTCAGGAATCACATGCATCTATAATGTCGTAAACAGAGGTTTTTGCCTATTTAAAATGATTAAAGCGCCATCCGTTGCATAAAATTTAAAGCAAAAACAGATTCACGGAGGATGGAATCAATTTTTGAAACACCCACATAAGTGGTTATAAAAATTATTTCTTTTAATTTTTAATAATATTTTGTATTTGATTCGATTGCTTTGGATGTGTTTAATTTACTAGGTGAACTGATATTTTTAGTATGCCTCAGATATTTGAAAACATATAGGTTAACCCAGAAAGAGTAACAGTCACGGAGGATAGGTTTTAGACTAACATTGTAAAAAATAATGAATTGCGGTTAAAAATCTGTAATATCTACTTAATTATGAAAGATCAAAACCCAATAAAAGTGTACGTCAAACTTATTTAGTTTAGATTCACCCATTTCTTAATTAAATAAACATTAAAAGAGAAAAATCCATAAAAATTATTTTCGAAGCATATGCCGCGGTCCGAAATAATAAATCCATTGTGTGAGAAGAAAAAAGCGAGGTTGTTCATTTATATTCGTTTTCGAATTTTTCCTTCCCAGCCGAACATTAAATTACTAGAACCAGGCAACTTTTGTGCTCGAGAATATCGAAAAGAAAGGCCGACCGCGGTTTTATGATTAAAAAATATACTTAAGGAATACTACCCCTTTATGTATCTTTGTTACACACTGTGAAAAAGAATGGGGTCTTTTTTGACGATTTTTATTCAATTTTATGATTACACGGAGAGAAATGTATAGTAAATTTTAGATAGTAAAAAAAAATATAGTAAAATTTACTTTAACAAATTTTTAGGGTAACAATATTATATATTCGTCAATACAATATTAAGATTGTAATACAAAATACTATTTTTTATTATACCATCTTAGTAAAGATTACAACACCAATATTACTAAATATATATTTTAATTTTTAATATGCTCGTGTAGAAAATTGATTTTACTATCTACAAATAGTAATATTTACTATATGATTTAATAAAATGGTGTACATCTAATATTGTAATATATTACACATTAAAAAATATAGTAAAAATAAAGATAATTTTATCTTTAAGGTAAACAATATATTTAAATATAATATACAATATAGAAACTCATGACATTTTAAACATTCAATTTTCTTAGTTTCTTCAATAAACGTTCTTGACCCATTACTGGTAATACTTATAAGAAAGAATTGAACCTACTTGGTTGCATAGTATGAACCGATTGCGGCAAAGGCCACGTCGCGACGCGTCGTTAGACGGTGTGGATCACGTGATGTTCTTACATCTCGCCTCTGTTGGCTTACCAACCATGTTATATAAGCTCAGGTATTTCTTTGTTTTGGGTGTGTTCCACTACTACAAGTTGCTCGACAGTGTCGTGTCGACACTGATGATACCCAATATAGGTCAAAACACCTGTCTGTTGGTATTTGAAGTTAATGGAACACACTCAAAACAAAAAACTTTGGCGAGGTGTAGGTTCAATTCTTTCTTATAACATTTTTGTGTATTAAAAAGTATAATAAATATGTTACAATTTTTAATTGTTAACATATAAAAATATTCGATTTTAAAATATTTTATATTTAAAATGGCAACATAATATTTTAAAATTTACTATACTTATTAGTAATGGAAAAATCTAATTATAATAAGAATTAAAAACAAAATTGGTTGAGAATAATAATATTTTACCTTAAGGTTTAACATACATGGATATTTAAAAATTACTAAATATGCATAGCATATACAAGATAGTTGTCCCAAATAGTAATATAAATTATAGTAACTTTTCTCTCCGTGTAATATTAAAATATTGCATTTTTTAAATAGTTTTGGCAAAATTAATTAATTAATTATAAATTTTTATCCACCTGTTCACCGAAATAAAAACAATGAAAAGTTCCAACTATAAAACACATTGTTCTTTTAAGAAAAAAACTTGGGTAAAAGTTTGGCCGAAAAATCCCTTTTTATACCTTTAATTAATATCACCTTTTATTTATGACAGTTCTCAAAAGTCCACAAAGGCGTAATTGCCTGCCGAAAGAGGGATACGCACCACTTTTGCCATTGTCTTTATTTTTCGGCGCATTAACCATCAGGTGTTCCAAGTGAACACACAAAAGTGCGGCTGATTTATTGTGATTATTAACAATTTAACTTGTTTTGAGGTACGGTTGCGCCCTTCAAAAACAATGGAAAGCGCTTAAAACTTCGCCTTTTCGTAATGAAAGAAAATATTTTTCTTATTTTTTCCGAATGATGGAATGCAGAATGCGCGAAAGAATCGTTTGGTTTGGGGAAAAATTCACTTTGATCCTAATAATTTGATCCTAGAATGATTAGATTTAATTATTTCAACGTCTTTATTATGTTTTAATAAAGAGATAATTTTTGTTTATCAGAGAAACATCTAGCAAACATACGTTGTTATTAAATCTACAAAATTTTTGTTATAATAAAAAACTGCTTATTTAATTAGTTTTTTGGCATTGTTAAGTTTTAGTATATTAAAGAACCAATGTCATAAGACGTCATTTTGTGCGACAAAAGGTCTTATGACATGAGTTCTTTATGCTATTTTATCTATTATGCAAAAATTCTATAAAAAAAATTAATTTTATACCTTAAATTTTGGATAGTTCAGTCATTGGTTTGACAGTTAATGTCAAAATCGATTCGCCATGCCGTCCTTAATTTACTTATTTACAATAAGGGGCTGTTAATGTTAAACAAGAAAAAAAGGATTTTCTTTGGTGTTAAACAAAATTTATTGCCAGAAAAGTACCAGAAAAATCATAAAAATATTATAACCAATATGTAAAATATTATGCTGTTTAAAGTATAGCCTATAAAATCAAAATTTTGGGTGGGATAAAGTATTTTATTACAGCACCGAAAGCGGTGTTATAATGCAATCATTATGAACGCAAAATAGATAAAAATATAAAAAATATGTCTACTTACTTTTTTGGCATTTTCTTGATTATTGTTATCTGCATGGGGGGCTGATGGGGCCATTACAGAAACGTTTGTTTGAGATAATAATTCGTCACTGCCTCTCTGTAAAAAAAAATTTATTAACTTTAATACAAACAAAAAATACGTATTAAATATAAAACACTTTCCTATTTAAATTTGAGAGTAATATCATATCATATTCTTAGTGGCAGTATAGGTTTACATGTGTGCCGTTGAAAAAAAAAGCATTATGAAATGATTATGGAAAGTTCGGATACGCAAAAATAACCTTATTCGTACAGGTTGCATATTCATAATAATCCCACCCCGCCACAGACGCTTCTTTGGGGTAGAGTTTTGAAAAGGGGATTTTCCTGAATCTTACCTTACAAAGGCTGAAGACGTATAAATATGGATTTGCCTACGAATACGATTATATGGGGGGGTTCGAGGGAAAGGAGATAGGAGCCGGTAACACGAATATTACAAAAATTGCATTACCTTTCACCTGAAATGTACACCTTAAAAGAGTAAAAAATTTTGTTTATTCACATCAAAAAGATGACATCACTGCACGGTGCTGTCCTGAGAGGTGATTTTTGGACTTTCTGTGCTCATAACTAAAATTTTAAGAGCAAAATAAAAAAAATGACGGTTGGAATTGTTTTAATTGGCTGTTTATTAAAAATATTATGCACTCTTTCAATTATCCAATTAAAACTAGCGATTTTATTTAAATATTTAATATTTGCATAACTAAAAAAAAGGTTTTTACAATTTTTTTTATATATTTTACTGTTTTCTTGCAATAAACGTTCAAACTTTTAATCTAACCTTTGACGTATACATTTATGTTCCCTTAATTAATATATCCTTAAAGGTTGCCATGAAACTTAGATCTATTAAAAATTTGTTTGAATTGTCATTTTCAGTATACGTATTCTATAATTTTTGTTTAGTTTTTTAAAGTGTTTTTTTATAAACAAAAATGAAAAATTTTAGTAAAAGTTACGAAAAAATTCATGAAATTTAACTAAGGACCGGTTTATTCATCTTTAGTAAAGTTTATCGGGCCGATAACTTTCATGTCTTGGCAATATCTAGTATCCAAAGAAATTATTCGTAAAATAAATCAAAATTGAATAAATCGGCCCTAAATAAAATGTGGCACCCTTAGAATTATTGTTTAATAAATGTATACTATACATTTAACCTTAAATTAAAACTTTAAACGTGTATTACAACAAAACAGTAAAAGATATAAAAAATGTATAGACCTTTTTTTAGGAAATTAACTAATCTTTAATCTGATTTAAAGTTATGATAAAATTTAAATAAAATCGCAAGTTTTAATTGGAGAATTGAAAGTGTGCATACATATTTTTAATAAACATTAAAACAATTAAAACAAAATTAACCGTCAAATTTTTTTTTGCTCTTAAAATTTTAGTTATGACCTAATTAACAAGAATATAAAAAAAATTAGGTTTCACAGAAAGTCCAAAAATCACCTCTCAGAACAGCACCGTGTTCAGCTGGTTTTCAAACTGAAATTAGGGGATACGGTGAAGTGGGTTAAAGTTACGAAATACATCAGTAAGTTTTATAGTAGTACTTATAATTATATTGGTTGAAATAAGCATAATTTCCTGATCAATGCAATCTTAAAATATAAAGTAAAAAGTATTCTTACCGCAGTTACTTTGCCACTCAATAAACACTACTATTTCCCCTGTAAAGTTGTATAAATTTATAGGCTAAAGGCGTTTAAAACGCGATGGCGGGTATAAAGTGGAGCTCGGGCACTCCACCTGAATAGACAATAATAATTTTACTGAACCATTACACGAACGATATAATATTGCGCATTTGCCAGACCGAAAGGGACCATAAAAATTGCCGAATGCGCAAATGTGTGCGAGCACATAGTACGCTTCGACCTAATAGCTTAAGCCTCGTAAAACCCAGACGAATTTACAATTAAATTAAATATTGATAACAAACACAAAACTAATTAACCCTGATGGCCATTTACAAGCACAACCTGGCAACAACGCCAAAAGTTATCATTTGGCAATATGCATTCTGTATATTTTTTGATTTTTTTTAACATTTCAGTTCAAGAATACCTACAGTGTATTATTTGTAAAGAAACCATTCCGATTCTTTGTTAAAAAAACTATACCATTAATATTTTCTTATAGTCACTGTATTAGTGAATTAAACTCTAATTTATAAACACGTATTACCAAGTGATAGTGTATAAAAATCATTTTATGTATTTTTTTAACAAAAACTTAAAAAAGTAACGAAATAGACATTGGTATCACAACGGGCAGGGGTTCACAAAGGACTTAATCAGATAACGTAAAAAGAAACTATATAGGGTGGTACGATTTTAGAGTAATGCATAAACAAAATCCCTTGTAGTGGTGCTCAATTGCAGAATAACAAGTTAGATTTCTAAATTGTAGACACCCTTTTTCTTTGACTATAAGCTGGTGAAGGTCCCTTTTAGTACTTTTATATTGAGTGGAATTTTTCCTTGGATGTAATCTATATCATGAGTTGTAATTACAAATAATTTTAAATTGGTTAATCATAAACTACTTTTAATAAAAGCGACGGTAAATATCCACTTTGTTGTGGAAAAATTCTATTTCGTTACCCTAAATTCCATTGCGTTACCATAAGGTAACATAGTGGACTCGGTAACGCAGTGGACAAAGTTTTGTAAAAAATAATAATAAGACATTATAGTCATTAATTACTCTCAATGAGCTTTAGTGCCCTAAAATAAACAAACATGAAAAATAGTATTTTTTCTTACCTTATTTTTATTTTTTTTTTGAGTAACTTAGCGGACAATCAATTATTATATCCGTCTCGAAAACAAAATCAACGTGTCTGAAGGTTTGATAAAATCATTGCAAAACAAAATAAAATTAACAAACTACGAACTCTTGATTTTTATAACAGTGTAAAGTTTCGATTCGGTAAAATAGTAATAAAAATAAATACACTCTGAAGGTCTACAATAAAAGTTTTATTTTTTTTCTTAAATGATGTCTATATTCCAACTTTAGACTAATCGCGTAACACATCAGTAGTAAAACGTGATTTGAAGAAAAGGTTTTTATGAAAAATGGCTAAACTCGCCTCTGGAGAACATGCATCATGCCCGAATGTCGCTATAATGCGACTTTATATTTCGCACACGTAGAAACTATATTGTTTTAGTTTATGTTAGCTTCAAGACCAAATTGATTTTTTAAATAAGAAATTCAAACTTAAAAAGTAAGAGAAAGAATTGTACTTAACAACTGTTAAACTTTAATTCAAATCAAGTGGCCATTTTTGAACTACCAATTGCATGGCAACACCTGATAGCTTGATAGTTAATAATTAAATCCACAAATATTTGTGTTGCCTGTTGCGTCGCTCTTTTGTTTGTGGAAGGCGGCCCGTTTGATATTTGCCCCCGAAAAAAACAAACAAGCAATTAACTTGATTAAAATCTAGTTACCGGCCGCGCACGAAAACTGTTTAAACGGCAAATAAATGGAATTTTAGTTCTGTCGAAAAAAAACAATCAAATTTTGTACAAAATTGTGTTGATGATACCTATTTAAAATGAAAAACTACTTTTGGTTAATAAACTTTGTAAAGTATAAAGTTATTGCAGATCTAAAAATACTCGTACATATAGAATGCCATTAATGATGCAGCTGCATTCCAATCAGACCGCAAGTTTTTCCACAATTCAAAGTGTTATTAACACTAGCAGAAATAACTCTTCGAATACTGATCCATTTTATAGGTTCGTTTACCTCAAAAACGCTACTTCTCGCTTGCATAACAAAAGTTATCGCTGATTTTTGAATGAAAGTTTTGTAGTTTATAGGAGAAAAAGCTATTCTGTATTAATTATATTATATTTATGAGAGATTCTACAAAAGGTGGACAACTTGATGTCATCAGTCAATAGAGTAGGTATTTTAATATTTTTTGTAAATATTTTAGTATATTACAAAAGATCCAGGTTTTTTTAACTTGTCCACCCAATTTTAATGTATTTTTTCAAAAGCACGTTTGTAGAAAAACATAATAAATATTCAAAACATCAGTACCTTGGCGTGTCACAACTCCTGAATCAAATATTTGAGTGATTTTATTTTAAAATATATTCAATTTATCTTAAATTTTTCAATTTCACTACAAACTATAAAACATTAAATAATGTATTCTTCATATTTTATCATAGATTCAAATAATAGCAATTTTAAAAAAATTGATAATCTTTGTACTCACCCGTCAGTTCTGTGTCCATGTTAAAATTTAAAATTCCTGCGAAATATTGAAGTTTAAACGTCAAGTCCTCGTTTTAACTCAAGTGTTGGCAAAAAATTACCTACATAGCCCGCCCTTTGCACGACAGTCATCTTGAAAACAATGCAAGCGGCGAAGTTGTGGTGAATGCACGTATAGTTCCAGTCATAATTTATATAAGGCTATATGTGATTTGTTGATAAGTAGCATCCACTAATAAAAAATATCAGTAAAATACTTAATTCCGAATTATAATCTCAAATTTGTATCCCATTCATCAGTACCGTGTCGTCAGTTCCATGTGCGATGTTTCGGTTATCTTTTTTTCGCAAACTTCAATTAAAATTCTGCTAACGCAGAACTTGTCTATTTAATGTCATTATAAACTCATATAAATTTGGTGTGGGTCCCATATCTAATAATTCAGATTTCGGTATACCCAAAATCCACCAGCCGCCACTGATGTGTGGTATTATTTGATTTTAAGATATTTAATGTATAATATGCTCAAAGTTGCAATAAATCTTATATTTTCCAATAAATTATGTATTTAATTAGTACCCTGCTATACTCGTCACTTCCCTTGCATTCAAATTTAGAAAACACAGATATTTCAGAAACTGTTTGAAAAAGGTCTGGAACAGTATATTTATTATATTATCTATGTTTTCATAACAAAATACTGTTTAATTTTCTCCGAAAACTATATAAACAAAATAAGGTCAAAAGTTGCCCAACTTTTTTAGAATCACCCATATCTATATTAATTAGTT